GCATAATAAACTCACTTTATATGAGAACTTAGGTACTATATCACAACAAGTTTCTGTGCCTAACAAAATCCTTCGTAAAGGCAGCGTTCAGACTTTGCGATGAGGCGTCGACACGCTGCAGTTGCAGCAGCGCTCCATCCCCTAGACATGTGCGCAGCCGCAGACAGTAATCGACCGGCACAGGCCACTAGGGCTCTGAGATAGTATAGCAGAACGGGAGAGTACCAGGTAGCAGGCAGTGCCTGCCCTGTTTTCCTGTTATCCTATACTCTCTCAAAACACAAGCGGCCGTCTCCGTTCGATTCCCATCGGCGGCTGAGTTCTGGCTATAGGATTTTAGCGCTGTTGCCACTGCAGTGCGGTACGCGCGCTATCGCGAAGTCTGAGCGCTACCGAACCCAACTGTAGGTTGACAACTCGGCAGCGCTCCTGTGTCTCTTCCTCCTAATCTAGGCTTCGCTTAAGGCAGACCCTGCTGCTTTGACACCATAATCTCAGCGACCTGGCCATCCTGCGCTCTAAGCCCGCCTTGGTTAGGGAAAGCGACGCAAAGCCGCGGCCAAGTGGTCCTTCCCACTACATCAGAACCGAAAATGAAAAAAAAGTGAAAAGGGTCATGTGAGATGGCACAATAGCACTTTGCTCGTCACATTCCGAACGCTCGAGGAATTTCACGTGCCAGCGCAGAATGTGGTATCTTCCATACCTTCACGACAGCTTCTTCTGAAGGTGAGACTGCTGTCTTGTTCGTTTTTGATCTTGATAAGAGCATCTAGGATCATCAGACCGCAATCATCCAAGTCAATATCGTATTTCTGAAAAACAAATTGCGGAAATATTGAAGCTATCGGGATTACGACATATGATAGCGTTCAAACTTCGGAATGACGCGCTGTAACTATAATACTCGTGGACGCGCTACCATTGCAACAGCACCCCAATACTACGGACGGGAAAGCAGCCATAGACGACTCGGTTGCGACCGCTGCTAATCTGGAGAAATATAGAGGAATAGGAGGGTAGCATACTACGTGATCAGGCAAGGCGTACCTTCATATTCTCCCATACTCTTCTGAAGCAGTACGACCGGCGTTGATCGATAACAGCATCGTCTATGGCAGCATTCCTCTCTTAGCATTGGAGCGCTGTCACAATGGTAGCGTGCAGGCAAGTGTTATGGTGCGTCTCAGCGCGTCGCTGCGAGGTCTGAACGCTGCCTACAACCGTTTTCCTACAAATAGGACAACTTGTATTCAACTCACTTTGTCAGGTGCCGCCATAGTTAGGAGGGAGCCTGCGTAGGAGTAGGGGATACCAGGCAGCGGAGCACGTGATGAATGCCTGCCTCGCGCCCTCTATCGGCAATAGTAACCTCTTTCCCTTATAGCCTCAGATGTAGCATAATATGTATCTCAATTGGTCCGCTTCACCAACCAACCCATTATTAACTAGCTGATTGGCTTCACCACAGTCTGGCGTTGAAACAAGGTGCGAATGCCGCGCATACGGGATCTTCTAAGTAAGGCCTCTTCAGCTACTCCATACTTCCGTCTCAGCAGTGTTAGGGTTAGCCCATAAGAGTGCAACGATCAGAATTCGCATGACCCCATCTTGCTATATGCCTTTCCCATGGCAGAAGTCTCCTTTCCTATACAACTTCAGGTGGGCTTCTGAATGCAGTGGGCACCATGGCAGGGGGAGGGGGGAGGGGGGCGGTTGTAGCCAGCTTCACTGGTGGAAGGGCTGCGATAGGACGTTTGGTCACGCCCCACTTTGCCCTTCTACCAATGACGCTGGCAACAATAGCCCTCCCCCAGCCATCGTGTTCACTGCCTTTAATTATTGGTGGCCATTATAAACTCAAAAACATGTCAATTTCGTCCGTTAATCAGACGGTTCTACCTGAGACCAGAGAGTACGAGCGACTCCTTTTCTCTCTATACTTCTGAAAGAAAAAAAATTTAGCACAACCTCTACCATACCCTCATTTCCGCGTTTTGCAACGTGCCCGGTTTGTCAGGACTGTAGCGATAAATTTCCAACGTTTTTATTCTCTTTCCAGTAGGCTTCGATGTTGATAGCGCGGCACAACTCGCATACATAAGTGCATGATTGCGAACAGTTGACAAGGTTCGTGCCAACATCCTGAAAAAGAATGAAATCCGAAAAATAACTGCAACGACTACAATCCCCGCTACCAATACAGAAGGGCCTTTTCCTGTAATCAAGAATCGCAATGCCCATTTACGCACCCTTACCCCTCTCGCTCCGATAAGCCTATGTTGCTAAAAGTCACACGTCATCTACGGCATTTGAGAAACCTTGTAGTCATTATCAGATGTGACGCAATTTGCGGCATACTACCGCAACATGACAGAAAACAACATGGAAAAAGCCAGAAAACACAGTGGAAGATCTTTCTACCATGTTATAGCATGATCCCCAGACCTTAGGGAGTGTCAGAGGTGGGGAGCTGGGGTTGGCACGGCACCAACTTACTTCCCAGAAAAAAAAAAAAATAAAAAAAAAAAAGGAAAAAACATCTAATGGTTGTCGCTTGCTCGCATCAACTGATGGAGAACGGACAAGCGCCGCACAAAACCAGCCCATTCCCTTCCATCTAAACGCACTACCGTCTGCAGCGAAAACGACTCTCGCACGCTCTTCGCAATCTGTTTACTGCTTCAGTTGCCGCTTCACAATATGAATTTTAAACTCATATTCAGCTAGGGCCAGGCAACCCTTCCGTTTGAATTACTAGAGTTCTTTTGAAATATTTATTCTAAAAAGCAACTATAAATAACCGTACATTACTAACACCGAGACTGTAATACACACGCTAAACCTACTGCACACAGGGAACATGACCGCAAGAAACTAATTCTATGAACATTGCAACAAATGATTCATGGGACAACTGAGATGGGGATTCACTTTGATAGAAACAAACTAAATGAAGACTGATCATATATCGCTCAAAATTTCGCTTGTTCCGGTTCTGGCTTATCCCTCATACCAGTAAGCAGCGATTTGATCTCTCCGATAGCTTTCGCGGGATTCAAGTGCTGGAAAAGGAAGAATTCAGCGAGGAAGAGAAGACAAAAAAGGAACAAGGAAAGATAAAGGATACTTTAGGATACATGAGCAAAGGTATAGTAGTTGGAAGAGAGGTACAATTTTCTTCACTTTGTTATCTGATTAGAGGGTGTCAGTGAGCAAAGGAAAAATAAAGATCTTTTCATAAAGATAAAGATCTTTTCATTGCTCACAGACCCCTTTCCAGGCATTAAAGGCAGTGGGCGTGAAGGCTGGTAGCGGGCCATTCCTGTCAGCGTCCCTGGAGGATGGGCTGCGCGGGGCATGCCCAAACGCCTGTCGCCGATGACGTTGACAGTAACCGCTCGAACATCGTGCCCACTTTCTTTAGGTCTGTTCGCGGGCGAATACTGTCTCGTTGACAGGACGCAGACGAGCAGAGAGAGAATGACCCTGTCGGAAATGGTCCTTGAAGTACCCAACTATGGCGCGATTCGGCTTGCTGGAGGTACCGAATGTACTTGGCGGCGTGCCGCTTTTCTTTGAAGACATGTGAACCAAAGTGCCACTCCGCAGCTTCACAGGGGTTTACAGGTTCCAAGAAAGTGAGTCTAGTTATTCCACATGAATAAATGGAACGAGAAGTGCGCAATGCCTTTCTAGGGCGAACAACCCTCTCAACGGGGAAGTAATATCAAAGTAAAGGAAGTATTGTTGATTACATGGTTCTACGAATAATTTACGACGTGAAAGACAGCGCTGTCTCCCAAAGTTTCATAAAGAAAACCGATCAAAAATGAAAATTCAGAACCAATCACGACCTTGTCGCGCGGGCCAAACGCAAATCGCTGCCCTCCGATCGTGACCAGCCGCGCGATCACCTTCGGCAGGTTTTCGTGCAGTTAATGCATAGTATGGCGCAGCTGAACGCGGAATAAGCATCATGCATGCGAGCGAGACGTTCCTTGGGGTAATCATCACGTGAATCGATGATCCACCTGCAAAGTACAGATAGACCAACAACCAAGAAACGCAATATGTAAACTGGGCGCGGGGCACGTTGAAGTGGCCCGGAAATTTGCAAAATGCGACCGCTCCGCAACTATATCCCTGGAGAAATGCTTTAATGCTACAATACCCTATAACGGTCGAGGCAAAACTTTCAAGGGCAGTACCCTACGGGGAAGGAATTTTTGAACAACTGAGCCTCATCAGAGGAGAACTATTGAGCAACTGGGCCTTCACTGAGGTGGATAACGTTTCACAATGAGCCGTCCAGCAGGCGCATGGACTATGAATAAGCAGAAGACAGAACAGAAGAAGGATTATTCGCAAAAAGAACGAGAACGGTTTCCTAGGACGCCACAAGGCGTCAGTTCACCCTAAAAATAACTATCAGTTCGCGCACAGAGGTCCACGTTTGCAAATCGATAAGCACTTAACCAGTGTGTTGATGTTGAAAACTTGTCAAGTCCGGCAGTGACAGGAGCACACAGGAATTGACATGTTACACTCGGCAATGTTCTAAGATCAACACCTATAAAGACCATGCCAACGCGATGAGGAGCATTTCTCGTGAATTCGGTAACGCGAGAAAAGCCGTTCCCCTACATTTTTTCGGCGATTATTTCGCTGACTTCTGCTTCAAATGCGCTGCACAAGCATCCCACACGCCTGCTGCGCTTGTTCGGCGAGCGAAACTAGTCATTTTCTGGAAAATACAGGCACGTGGTAGGGATAAAGGAGATCGTGCAAGAAGGGATATTCAGGGAGGACGCGAGGACGGATTGTGTTCAGCGGAAATTACTGCCTAACAGCAGGACGAGCCCTATCCATGCCACAATCTCCCGGCGATCCAATCCTCAAAAATTTTGTGGAACTGGGGTGAACCCTTCCCAGTGGAAAAGCGAAAGATCTCCAATTTCCTCTCAAACCTCTCAGTACCTCGTATTTACTTTTTTCATTCCCATTAAGCATTCCACTTTCTAGGAAAACTGATCAGACAATCGTAATTTGTCGTTCTTCGCTTACGGCGCAACGTGCGGCACTGCGCGGCAAATCCCCAACAAGCATCAGTTTGTTGATAGGTGCATCAAAGGCTACAGGAATTCAGGCGGAGCCAAAACTCCATAGAAGGCGATGACGGAATATCCTGTTCCTTTAAAACTCGTAATCGCATGGCTGGGCAGGATAATTCACTCCCGTTCCACATGGTGAATCCTCAGCGCACGGCATGCCTTGTCGAAAGAGCTCTGTCTTGACCACTATGCTCTCCCTACTCCCCCTTCTTCTACGTAAAAAAAATCAGAAAAATTTTGATTCCGGAGATACCCTACCTGTAAGCCTGCATCAGCACAGAAGGTCCAAGGTATTTGTCTGCATTCCACCAGTACGATGGACAAGATGCTGAGCAGCATGCACACAGGATGCATTCATAGAGGCCATCCTGAAAAAAGCACAACTGACTCACCAAGTTCTTTTAGCAGAATTCCTTGAGAACCCACCAGCCTATCACGCTCCTTAACGCTTTGGAACAACTGCTTCTCTCCAGCTGTGATGTTTTCCTTCTTCTGAAGCCATGGCTGTATGGATTTGTACTGCTCGAAAAATAGGCCCAAGTCAGGAACGAGATCCTGAAAAAAAACAGCTTTCTGTGCAACTCTGACCTCCACAGGATACCTCGGAAATTTGTGAAACAGATGCCGCTCTTACCTTGATAACAAACATATGAGGTAAAGGATAGATCTTGGTGACTTTGCTTGTATCGGGGTCGATTTTTTGGATACATGCCAAGGTATTCTCTCCAGCGATATTCATCGCACATGAGCCACAAATTCCTAAAAATTTTCGCTTCCAATCATTTGTCAAAGCTGCATACCATTAGTTCCCAATAATACATCAATCTGAGCAAACCAGACTGAAATTTCTTCATACAGTCCAACCTTTGACCATCCAGAAACTTTGACTACTCCCGCGAAGAAAACGTCACTTGCAAAAACCCACTTCATCTAACCGCCATGGCTTTCATGGCAAATCTGCCCTGAAAAAAGAAATCTAAGTGGTCGTCTTTTAAAAAACTTGAACAACCATTGAGGAAAAACGCAAATAATCTAGGG